GAGATGAAAATATGGTCCATAGTATTCGATATGATGATGTAAGATTACTTTTGACATTAGAGAAAAATCAAATATTTTTATATCACTATTATACTCATGTATAGTAATAACATTTTTAATATTAAAAATGTAACAACGAATTTACAATCGTTCACAAAAAAAATCATCGTAACCAAATAAAACATGCTCGAAATTAATATATCGCGCAATAATAATTAATTAAAATAAACAACGAGATACTCATGGACGTGAACGGTGTACTTAAACGATACATTGGTCAAACAACATATAAAGTTGTATCGTGCGTGTCTCCTAACCGCGACCGCATGATGCACTCGCGTCGGTTGCATTCGCATTAGTAACGAATGCATCGTCGGAATGCGGCTAAAAGGGCGCATAATAATTTCATTGTCCGGCGCTCGAGTTTGCAACAACTTTTTCTGGTTTAAATGCCGAGAGTGGGCTTTACATTCGCTCCATTTCACGCGGCGGCGACGCGTTTTACAACCCGCGAGCAATCCGCGTGCAATAAGTCCGGCCGCGGATAGCGACCGCATGACGCATAACGCGTCAGCCGCAGATGCGTCGGGCAAGCGCAAGCGAAAAAGGCATTTCGACAACGATGCGGGGTCGTGCAATAATTTTCTCGTTCAACGGCCGAACGAGCAGCGAATGCGTTTGTTCTGTTTGGCCGGGGTGTAATTTTCATAGCGAACTCGACATCGGAGCGAATTACGCAAAGTTGCGCATAGTTCGTCAGATTCGTTGCGTTCTCCGATATTATAGATTTAAAATTCCGATTAACCCTTCAACTCGCGAAAAATATATATGTTACTACCATCTTGAGTTCACAGATTAGATTTAAAACACACTCGAACGTTAAAGATCTCTTTATTTTAACATAAACGATATGTAATCTCTTACAATTAAAACTTGGATTAAAGGGAGTAGATATCGCTTGACCAATTAATACGTCAGTAATCCGAAGGAAATTACGAACTCGTCGATCATGCTCGAAGAACTTCGACGAGTAGCTGGTTCGAGAGGTTGCATAGCGTCGGCGGCGATCGAGAGCTCCAGAGGGCGAAGCGATAAAGCCTGAAAGGACTCTCGGGAGAGTTCCAACGCGGTCGCGAGTCCGAAGATTTATACGCAACGTACGGGCAGTGCTAGAAAGAGACAGAGGGAATCCTCTCGCTTTTCGGTGCTTCGAACTTGACGAAGTGCATGCGCCGCGGTCTAGTCGCAACGACTCGAAACACGGACATCTACATACATATACAGCGCGGTTCCCTCCAAACTCACCGCTCCCAAGGGAGACGACGTCTTCCCGGCATTCGAGCGGTAACCGCACACACCGGGGCCGAACGCGTTTAAAGGGAGCGAATTCTACGGCGAACCCTGAAGAGATCTTTCGTCCTGGGATGCCTTCGAGCTGACCAACTTTGAACGACTTTGTCGCTACGAATACATCTCGAGAAGTGACGTAATGACGTCTCTGAAATATATCGCCAACTATTTGATTCCTCGTAACTTCGTCACGTAGGCCCGTCCCCTCGCATCAAATGTTTATCCCTTAGAAAAAAAGATGCTACATTTTTCAAGATTTTAAAAAGGATGTCTCCGATGTTGGAAATAGTTTGTCTTATGTACAGACGTATCATCAAACAAGCTCTATGTGTTTTTTATAAAAATTATATTTGTATATATATGTGTGTGTGAGATGCGCCTTTTTCATAAAAACTTAAATGATAATTTAAACATGAGAAGTGCACGGAAGATTAAAAATGATCAAAAGTATACATTTATAAAGTTTTTTAAAAATTTATATTAATTTTAATTTTGAAGATGTAACTTTACATAAAAGAATCTTATTTATTAAAAGAATCTTATCTCTTAAATAACAAATTAATTTAATTACATTTGAATTATGAACAAAAAATATTCAAATTAGAAATGATGGAATTAAAGACTACAGAATAAAATGTAAAAATTAACTCCAATGTAACTCAATAAGCACATACTTAAATGCAACAATTGGAACTTTTCTCAAACGATACAAGTATATTCAGTAGACATGCTCACTGATGAGAGGCATGCGAATCGTTTATGCGAATCGATGCGTTTATGGCAGTAGCCTTTTGATTGAAACACACATCGCACTCGGTGCACACTTCTATCTCATCCCCGGTTAATCGAGCATGTCGATGACGCCGTATATCGATTATCTGCCGCTTACCGGGGTGTTATCGAAACGCGCTTAATTAACGGAGAACAAACTGCAGCGAGAGTAACGGCGCGAGTCGAGCGTTAATCGCGATGCGAGGAGCAAAAAGACGCAACTGAGAGCAAGAGAGGGAGAGAGAGAGAGAGAGAGAGAGAGAGAGAGAGAGAGAGAGAGAGAGAGAGAGAGAGAGAGAGAGAGAGAGAAAGAGAGAGAGAGAGAAATTGCTTTCGCGTTAATAAATTCTCTTCTTGCCTCCTCTTTTCTTAGCTCCCTACCATTTTTATCAAAAAGATACGTCGACCTTATAACGATGCTTTATTTTACTGTCGAGATACATTTTATTTCGTGCGATAAAACTTTACATTAAATATATATGTTTTTAGCCTTCAACTTTCTCTCGTAGTATAATTTATACGTATATATTCTGCAAATACGGATAGATTACGGTAAGATTAAATTTATTTTAACTTTTATCTCTCAAACATTTCCATTAAACATTTTTAATGTATCCTTCGCTTCCATTCCATAATTCAAGATACGAATTCAGTTACGAAGAGTTGATTAAAATAATACTTGATATTTTCTTTCGGCTTTTGAATTAAACGGAATTAAAGAGAGCGGGATTGCAGCTCTCTCTCTCTCTCTCTCTCTCTCTCTCTCTCTCTCTCGTTGGCTCTTTACCTTACGGATTCATAGTATCAACGGGGATTTAAGGGCGATCTTGTTCGACGACGCGAAGCGGCGCGTAGCCCGCAAAATGGCGCCATTCGCCAAGTTGGTGCCGGCCAACGTAGAGAGCGAATGGGACGTTAAATCGAGATGCTCCTCTCGTGTGCCCTCCACGTAATCCCGCCGCATCCTTGACCCACGCCATCGTTTCCACGCACGCGGTAATTTACCGCGAAACACGCGCGTCGTTACTCAGCCATCGCTTTGTTCTCGGATTTTCTGCAAGTCGACGCTCGCCCGAGACTATTTTTTTGCCTCAAGATCCTTTACGTAATGATCGATAATGACGGCTGGACATGCGCCAACTAATGACTTCGGGAATGGAATGCCTATATTACCTATGTTGCCTATACTGTTATTAAATATATTTGTCCTTATATTGCATTAAATTTATCTTATCATCGAGTAAAGACTTTCGATGCATCGCAATCGGTATTTTTATATCATTTAAATCGTTATTTCAAGCAAACTTGAAACGTATCAGATACGTGTCGTGCAAGATTGATAACATAAATAAATAAAAATTAATTCTTTTTTACAATATAATAATTTGTTTTTTGTATTATTAATCGCGCTGAGGAGGGATCAAAGACGATCCGAAACGTTCGTTCTTTTTATTTAGTTTTTAAATTTGAAGTAAACAACAATCAATAAGAAGGAAGTGTTGTTTCTTCAACTGCGCTGTGGCTTATGCCAATTTTGATTTAATTTGTATTTATGTATTTACTTGAGCTAAATTTCTAACTATTAATTTTAAAAACATAAAGTTTAAATTAGCGTGTCGATGTGAATTCGATACATTTATGATACAATAAATTAAAGATTAATACATTGACAACGAGAGAGAAGGAGAGATGGGATCGTAAAACTGCGTCTAGGTTTATTTAAGGGGAGATATGATGGCCGCTATAATATGATACCATCCGAGGAAAGAAAGAACGAAGGAAGAAGAAGACAGCGAGAAGGGAGCAACGACAAGGGAACAGCCTGCACGAGCAGAAGGCAAGGAGAGTGGTGTAATAACTCTGTCCGTGAAAGCCTCGTCGTGAGTTCATTAGTTCCGTACCGACGCGCCATAATGCCGGTTTAGTCCGCGGTTAGGACTTTCCACGGAAATACTATAGCGCCAGTAAATTCAGCGAGTTTACTCGCAGATTTGGCGTCCAAACGTTCGCATCTCACGCTGAAATATATTACATTATGCATCCCGCCAAATGGTTTCATAAACTAAACTCACATTAGCCACTTTAGAATAAACAGCTGGATTTTTTTTCCCGTGAATATGAAGCTTTTTATTTTACTGCTGTGATATTGGGATTAATTCTGATGATGGGATTAATCTTAATAAGGAGAGAATATTACGAAAGATGAACTAAACTTCAGTGTTTAAAACTTGGAAACTCATGAAAAGTTTTGAAAAGCAAACATATTTCACCAGTTATGTTTCTTAGGATGCATAAAACAACAATTTTTCAATTAAATTGAATAAAAATATTTGAAGCTTGAATTTACGAAAATTCCATCGTATTAATATAAGATTGAATCAAAAGTAGTAAAAATTTTCTGATTTACGTATCTTTATAATTTTAAATATAAACCCAGAACCATACAGAATCTTTCGCATAGCGAAAGAAATAAAGTATGTGTTTTATTTTAAGTTCCTTTCATCGCAAAAATAATCTGCGGATGCGAAAATTTTTTCGAAATAGGAGTCCCTCCAACCAACATGTAAACCGCAAAAACGCGCTCGTGCGAATAGATTAAACATCGCAACAACGTAATCCCATCAGTAACAACGGCACCTATCCTCTCTAGGCTTCTCGCGCATGCGGAGGTTTTCCGGAAACGGAACGATGTGGATCCGGCCACAACGGACGTCATGTGTACGACAGGCTCGACCGCGCGCGTATAATCTCTACATTCGGTCTGCCGCGAGTTGCAGCTGCAATTGCGACGTGCAGTTGCATGCGCGTTACCGCGAACTTCGGCCGAAAGACTGGAGCAACTGGGAAACAAAAAAAAATATACGCGTTTTGTGTTGCAGAGAGGTACGACACCGCATACGCCTGCGAGGGCAAAACGTTGGAAATCGAGTGTGGCGAGGGGAAGCTGATCCACCTGATACGGGCGAACTACGGCAGGTTCTCCATCACGATATGCAACGAGCACGGGAACACCGAATGGAGCGTCAACTGCATGTCGCCCAAATCGTTCCGCGTGCTAAACAACGAGTAAGTATCGCACGCGCCACGTTTGTATTTCTGTATATTTGCTGTGACTGACTTTATTCGATTTGCCTTCAACATATCCCTTTGATCTATTCCCCTGGGAATTGCCGCAGGCAGAGCTGACCGGGATAATTTAGCGAGAGATAAATACATATCCGTTTAATTGCAAAAGAGAATTGATATTGAAAGAATGCGCAACACACAAGCCTAAAAAAGAGAATTTTATGTAAAAAAAATATAAATAACTCAATTCTTCATATTTCAAATTATTTTTTAAATTGAAACTGAGTAATCAGTATCAAAATAAATTATGTACTTAACGTCTACGTTTTTTAATTTTCAAAATTAATGTTCAGTATATATTAGTACATTCATCATTTTGACAATCGAAAAATCATTATATGAATCACTATATATATAAAATATTGAAAAAGGAATTTTTTACATATTTGCTAACGATCAAATATAAGATTCATAATAGAGAGAAATTGTAGAAAGACTAATTAATTCTTCCATTGGCAAATGCAATTTTTAACAAGATAACTGTTCCATAAAGCGGAGAATGGATTTTTTAAATTCTTACAATTACGGAAATTACTAGCAGAGATAATTATCAGAAACTCTTGCTGAGGCTACATATCGCCAATTGATCTCAATTAGTTTTTAGAACTCTGTGAAAAAGAGACAATATCTGAAGACAAGCTCGGCAAACATTTCAAAGTTCTTTATCATTTTAAAAGAATAATATCTCTAAAGAATAAAATATTTTTTAAAATCTTGATATAATTAAGATGTATAATTGCTATATATTTTGTCGTGTTGCCATCGCTTTTTCTAATATAAAATATATAATACGTAATAAATATATTAATCGGATATAATGAATATATAATGAATATATAATCTTGCAATATAAAATAATATTCAGCTCTGCTTGTGAGACGCTAATCGATCTCTCGCAAATGTTTAAAAGAAATAGAGAATAATAAATAATATACAATGTAATGTATTCGATTAAAAGAGATTGATGCGATCGATAGATCAGACTTGTTATTGAGCAATCAGCTGTTTTCTAATAGAAAAGTTTATTGAGAATTTTTCGGAATTTTAACATGACATTTCATGTCATTATCGTGAAATATTTAGTTTTATATTTCATTAACGAGAGTGCACGTTTATGCTACAGTCCCGCGATATTTAATCTTGAATGGAATCTCTCCGCACAATCTATAGCGAACACCGATTTAACTTTATACGCTGAGTGAACATATGTGCTATCGAACAACATTTGACCTATGAAAATTGTATTCAAGCATTTCTATATCCGCTTCAAACTATAAAACGCATTGATTGATTAATTAAATGACATCATTGATCGGCAAAGCAATTGAGTAATCTTTTTTAATGTGCGCTAAATTTTAAATATAATATATTTAATTACATCACGACAAGACAGATCTCTATCATTCATCATCGATCAATTCATTCTTTGAATCAAAATAATATTTTCGCGAGGGATCTAATGAGCGTCATTCCCATATCTATCTTGCTATTTTTTTCTTCAAATCAACAAAATGGAGCATAAATTAAGAAAAACGAATAAGGGAATAAAATCATCGGCTGAGAGACGCGAGGTCGGTGGCGGACCGCTTCTATGGTCGAGTGAACTGGCCAATTGCTGGACCATTGAAGAGCGCGTCTCACGACGGATCGGCTAGGAAGAATCGCAGCATCAGCGATAGCTTCGCTATCACGGTCCTCGCGAGAATCCGCCTCGCGTTTCTCGGTCTGTTATGAAAAATATGCGCATCCATTAATTCTGGAGATCGATTACACAATGTTTAGTTTAAGAGTTGAAAATGCAAATAAATTTATCAATATCGTTATTAAAATGATAAAAAAGCAAAATAAATTCACCAATTGTGATAATCGACCTCCATACAAAGATTATACTCTGAAAAGCGTAACTAGGATCGATTAAAAGAAAAATAAAGTTTGAGAAGAAAATAAAATATAATTTCATGTGTATTATATTAATATATACACACATACATATAACATATTTGTTAGATTAGAATATTTCTTTAATTTCTATACTTTTATATATTTATCATGTGCTTCTCTTTAGAATAAGATGACATGTTAAATAAACTAGAAAGGAATATCTATGCATTCACCTAGTTACGCTAATATTTATTGTCGGACTTTTTTCATTTTCGTGGATCTGATCATTTTACAAAAATTGCAACTGTTCCATGGAAAATACATATTATGATCATGTTAAAGAACGCGAGATATTTTTTACGTTTTCATCTTTTTCGATAATAATTTAAAATCTGTTGTATACTCTTTGCAGTATACTGTATATATAGGATACAAAAATATTAGACTTTATATAAAATTTAATCTGATTATTACAGCCAATTTTTTCGTGGAATAGTTGATCTATTTAAAAGGTGTAATAGATCCCCTCATATTCGCATTAGACATATTCTTCAAACTTTTCAAACTTTTATCTTTTTCATTTATTATTATTATTTATCAGTCCATATCTACGCACATGCAAATTATATGATGAGATATTCATCTCATAATTATATCCAATATAATCTTTTTATTAAACAAGAAGAGATAATTATATTTAGCATAAATTATGCAATAAGAATATTATGTGACAGGGTATATGGACCAAATATATATATATATATATATATATATATATATATATATAATATTTATTATTTAAAACATGATATTGGCAAGCAGCATCGATTGATTGATTTATGAGAAAGAGTGAGAGGAGGAAAGAGATGTATAGACAAAGCTACTTTTAACAATTTCATGTTTAATTCTCATAGTTTTATTTCCACTAATAGGACAAACAAAATGTCAATTTTGATTAATCAATTTTAATTAATGAAAGCTCTAAGAATACCTCTTTCGATAAATTCATAAATTAATAGGCAATTAATTTCTATAATTTTCATGCATAATGCGATTATTCACTATATTTATTATATATTAGTTGAGGCAACAAATCTCTCAGTGAATTATATTAATTATAATAATTAATTCAGCTAAATTTTTGATATATATATATATATATATATATATATATATATATAAATTTACTAGTATAATCTCTAAAACATAATCAATATCTATATATAAGAAGAACTTTTGATAAATTTTGAAGCTTTTGAAGATATTTTATATATTTAAGTGATTGAGAGAAATCTCTTTCTTGGATTACATTTTGCAGAAAGTAATTAAACAACATTGTCTCATACATCAATATATTTCACATATATTTGATTTATTTTAAAAAGATAATAACGAAACATTATTTGGATTAACTTATCGTTCATTCAATGATGAGTCCAACATTCTTTTTTTCCTCTTTCTCTTTTTCTCATCTCACAGTAATTTTTTTCAAATCGATATGGAAAGATGAACGATATGATCGGTCATATTTTTCTCATTAATGACGAGGTAACGGAAAAATTCATAATATTCACATCCGATTTTCAAGCGCTATTGATATCTCTCGATGCTCATCTGCATCAAAAAGAGAGAAAACTCGATTTCGGGAAAATTTTAATTTTCTCGCGAAATGATTCTTCCCCTCCTCATGCGCATCGATATTGGGATAAATTATTATCGTTGCGATCCCATTTAATGCGCGATTCGCTCGTTATTAAAATCGTTGTTGCATGATCAATCGATGCTTTTGCCTACATCAGCATTTTTTCACGGAATCATTTGAGAATCAGCAAATTTATCGAATCGGACATTCGAAATCATCGACATCAGTTTAATGTTTTTTCGCAACTTTTTTTGTACTTAATATTTAAATAATAATTACAGAATATGTATCTCGCCATGTTGAAAGTTTCTATTATAACAATAGCTTGGAGTGATAATATTATAATGTCGAAATTAATTGGCGAAATAATTCTATAGATTGTTGATTAATGCTTCGAATAATTTATAATAATTGTTAAATTGTTACGTGACATATACGGTGTTATTTGAGAAGTATAAAATGAAAGAAGAATTTATTCTCGTAATATTTTTTAAACTACGTATATGATAAGAGAATTATATTCTATGAGATGTAATAAATTTCACAATTATTTTATTCTTGATTACAATATCGTATTCTGCAATTATCCAAACAAATCTTTATCTTGATGCAATAATAATCAGAATTAAATTATTCGGGGTTGCGAAGAACTGATTCGATAATCCGATTGAGCCGAATTAAATTGAACTTGTCGCCGAATACAATATTTCCGTTTATATTACTTCGTCGTTTGTTTCGTTTCTTTTTATTGTGTCTCGTTATTAACAATTTGCGACTCTTTTTAACGCAGGATGTTTAAAACAGAGTGATTTTTTCCTTCCGCAAGCATGTTTGTTTATTTGTACATTTGATGGGGCAAGATGCTTGGGTTTTACCTGGTTACTCCTGAAAATCCTATTAACATCCTCATCTCATTCAGTTAATATAATCGTATTAATACATTGTAAGCCGATTCTAATAATTACCAGACTGGTAACTATTATAAAAATAGTACAGTATCTATAAATAGAAGATATATTTGATAATTAGAATATTAAATATATAATAAAATGGCTTATAATGCATTAATTAAAATATGTATTATGTGTATGTATATTAATTATTTAATTAAAAGAATTTTTTATGGTATTGGTTAAGGTATAAACAAAATGGAGCAAGTATATCAAATGCAAACAGCTATATATTGTAGATTAATATAATTAAATAACTAATTATATAACTATATATAATTATATAACTAATTAAAATTGCTTAATTTAATGATTATTACACTAATTGTGTTACATTTGATATTATTTCTTTCCTCAATTCGTATATAACATTTCTCTTGCTCGTTGGAGCGCGTATCGATATTTAATTAACATTATTGATACACAGAAATCCTTGAACATATTTCAAAACAAACTTATATAATGAT